GGAAGTCCTGGGTCATGGGATGTAGGAGCCCGACCCAGAGAGGAGAATGGGGTCATGAGGTATATGAGGCACCATGGTGGAATATCCAAATCGAAATATTTCACGTTTCAGGTATTTGTTTTTTTGACCAAAAAAAATTATAATCAAATTTTGCATCAAAAGCCGGCACTTTTCATGCAAAATGCCATTTAGTTGACAATCCAATTCCTATTAAAACACAATACTACCCTTTTGAGCCATGTGGCTAGCCAAAAACATGAGGGGTAGTAGGTTGTTCCAGTTAGGCAGAGGAATTGGACAAGTATTTCTTGGATGCAGTTTTGTTTATTTACAAAGAACGTACAAAGTCCTGTGCCTCTGAACGCAGAAGGAATCAACAGTAGGAAGCAGCTTCTTTTGCTCACAGCTCCAGGGGCACGCTTTGCAGCCTGCACCTTCACCCCAAAACCCTCTCCCCAGGCTTCTTCCAGGGTCAGAGACCATGATTTCAGCTACTCCTTCAGGCTGTCTGTGGCTCGCTGGTCCTCTGAGTTCACCCTTTTTCTCCCTTGCTCTCTCTCTCTCTCTCTCTCATCCAAAACAATATTCAGCAAAGCACTTCCACCCACACAGTCCAAAACCCCTGGGTGGGTTCACGTTACCCTTTGGCTTTAGACGAAGGCTTGTGATTAATTTAGCTCTACATTATGTTAACTGAAGGGTGCATTCACACAAGCTTTTTAATACGACCAATAACTAGGTTTCACCCAGCTCAAAAAAACAGTTTTAAGGGAAATTTTTCAACCAGCCCTTTTCCTGGGTTCATTTCTCTCCTCTCTCCCTGTGCGTTGAACAAAGCAGTCTAGCTCCATGTCTTCGTGCCACTATCTGTAAAACAACTACATACATGCACACTTGTGAGCATGCTCCTTGCGGGTGGGAGACCAGGGGTTCGGAGAATTACTTAGAGCTAATCAAAATATTATTTCCAGTACAATTCATCATGAATTTAGCCCCTTCCTTGGCTGAAGACCCATTTGCAATCTGACCTCAGTTGCTGAGAATGTCTTTGTTACAATATTCTTCAAATAATTTCCCTTACTAATAGCTTTGTAATTTAACGTCTCGCTGTCCCTAGTTGTGTTGCTGCTCTCTGATTGGCTGTCTGAAGCTAGTTAAAACAGGAGAACAGATCATGAAATTCCAGTTTGAATTTTCAGGCAAACATTTGTAACAAAATGAGGGGAAATGTAGGGATTTGCAAACCATTGGCTGAATCTCACTGAGGCTGTCCAGAGACAATAGAAACCCCCCTATGGGCCAGCAAACAGAATTCAGGCCTATTCTTCACTAACCTAGTTGTGACTCAGACTCTTTGACTATCTGGCCTCACCCTAGAATTCATGTGTGTAAAGATCCAGGCTGACCACAGGCCTCCCCCACTTCCCTATCTCTCCCTGCCCCTTGCAGTCTGGGTTGGGTGAAGTCTGGGTGGGTGAGACCCACTTTCACCAGCTCTCCCTATTGCAGCTGCATGAAGCCAGCTGCTTTCAGTCTCTGGAGCATTTGCTGCCATCTAGCAGCCTGGGGCAGCATCACACCAGGCTCCCAGGAGACCGTCTGCCCCAGTTCAGTGCAGGCTTCATACAGGGCACATGCAGCCACAGCTGTTGGGGGGAATAGAAAAGGGGGGAACCACCAGCCAGAATGAAGTGGAAAACACTGGACTTCTCCGCCTCCTTCCCCACATCCTGAGTCACTGGCACAGCTAAGAACAGCACCTCGGATTCCTGACTCCCAGCCCTGTGCTCTCACCACTTCCTCTGTGACGGCTGTTATTTCCTGTTCCACCCTTCTCCACAGCCTCTCTGCTGCCTGCTTTGGGCCAGGGCCCATCTGAGACACTACGACAGGGTGTTCTCGTGGCAGCAGTGACATGCAGCTGCCTCAAGACTACCCCAGAGCCTGTAACCTTCTCTCCCTTATTCACGAGCGCCTATTTTTAGTGGCTTCCCGGGCCGTCTGCACTGGGGAAGCATGAAATACAAATGATGGGTGTGGAGCAGCAGACGGCACCGAGGAGAGAAGCCTTCTCTGGCTAATGTTGATTCTGCTAGTGAGTTCATCTCACTCACCAGCCCGTGCCGCACAGCTCTGTGCTTCCTCGAGGTGTGGCTGGCGGCCCCAGGCAGGCCTGCCTTTCACAAGAGCTGCATTGTGCCGGCTGAATTTTACACTGGCAGGCTGAATGCAGGCGCCAACAGGCCCATCACTGTTCAGGACCTAGCAGCACTTGGTAATGTCTGTCAAGAAGGGCGGAGGAGAGGGGTGGCATTTCCACAGTTAACTCCATTTTGCATGGATCCAAGGGCTTGAGAGAGACAGCGTGACCTCCGCTCGCAGCTGACATCAGGCATGGCAGTGGCTTGGCCTGAGATGACAAGGGTACACCCCTTCTCCAGCACCCCAGTTTGGCCAGGCTTTTAAAAACCTCAGCTGAGTGAGGGAGAGGGACATTCTCGAACCGGGCACAAGCTGCAGCAAAGCCAGCTATCCCCACCCTGTGCCCAATGCCAAGGTGCCTCCGGTGTGCGGGATGGACCACTGCTAGGCTGGAGAGCTGCCAAGGCCATCAGTCAGTCCCTGGCTGCTCTGCTGATACAGCCAGCTAGGGGGTTGCAATTTATTTATACGTATTACCACCCTGCAACCCAGCCAATCCTCCCGCCTCCACACACACACACACACAACCAGCCTACACTTACAAATAAAACTCTCCTCCTGCCCTGCCCCCCAAGAAACCCTCCCTGGTAGTGAGAACTGGGGCCTAGCAGACCCACTCCACTTGGGAGCCGAACTCAGGGAAAGTGGGTTCAAATTTATAAAGTGTCACAATAATCCCTAGCAATAATAGGGAAAGGTGCGAAATGGAGACAGACAGACAGACTTAGTACAAACCAAAAGGCCTCCTGACCTAATTCCAGGACTGGGTTAAGATCGTGCCTGGTAAACGAGAAATGTGGGCCCAGAAAGCAACAAACCAAACCAGGTGTGTTGAGAATTAGGACTATCCATGGACAAAATAATGAGGGGATGGGATCCGCCCTTTCGGGGACCTTAAAAAAAAAAAGCGACTTTGGGAAGAAACTTGGCAAAGGCGGACGCTGGCTGACAGAGCCAGGAGAATGGGAAGCAGCGAGGTTCGCCATCATGGCGGTCTCCTGAGACGCCCACTGTCACACCGTTGGGCCTGCTTCGTCCTACTCCCGTGAGCTGCCCTGAGAGCCTGGGCCAGAGAGCTGCACCCAGATGACACCACCACCTCCAGCTGAATCCCAAACACCACCAGGGCTGAGAGACTTTGTCGCTCCATGTGTCTTTTTCCTGCCCTACCTTATTTCTTCTCTTTCCCAGCCCTCTCCTTTTGCCTTCTGCCTAGTACAAGTGTCTGGCTTTGCCAGCCCAAGACGATAGTTTGTAACACTGCTGTAAGCCTGTAAACACAAAAGGGCAGCTAAGAGCCCTGCCCCAATCAGACCAACCCTGTTACAAGTTTACCTGGCTTCAGAGTTAAGAAGACGGCATGCTGGGCCTGCTTTTTTCCAGCAGGGAGGTTGCAAGTGAGAGTCAGCACCAGAGACAGAAATTGCATTGTCTGTCTTTGCTCTTGTCTTCTTTCCCTCGTGTGTGTTTTTCTTGTTGTCTTTTAGGAAACAGGCCTGGACTTTACAACAGTAACAACAACTGCAGCCTCTCCCCTGGGACCTTTTCTCTTCTCCCTCCCCACAGGAGCAGTTACTACTTTACATCTTTAACACCATCTGCAACACCCTGAAACAGGAGGGGTTCCTTCTAAAGACTCTCCAGCTACAGGGAAAGAGAACCAGGGACATTATTCAAATAAAAGCCTTATGCAACACTTTACATTTCCAATGCTTTAGCGGTCTTTCTTTCCGTTCCGTGTCTTAAAAAGATTGAAGAGGGTTTTTTGTTGCTGTTTTTGGTTTGGTTTGGTTTTTGGCCATGGGGCTAAGCAGGCTGAGGTCTCTGTAAACCAAACCCCGAAGCTTGTTTAATGTTGGACAGTGACATGCTCATGTTCACAAGTTTGACTCTTTGGGCCCATTTCTTCCATCCAGATTGATACAACACCCCTCCTATGCACTCGACCCTCTGCCAGGGCCTAATCCAGGGCCCACTGGAATCCACCGGTTCTTCCCACTGACTGCAAAGTGGGTTTTGGATCAGCGCCCTGTCCCCACACGGCCCAAGACTTTGGCGTGTGCCCTGAAGGCCCAGCTGGTGGATTGAGTCAGCAGGAAAAACCACGGAAGGCCCAAGAGGCCTGTCCCCATTTGAAGTTGTAACTAGAAAGCAAATGATGCTGATCTAAACAGAAAAGGAAACGGCTGAACTCCCCAGCTTGGGAACCAGCCCAGGTCTAGGATGCCCCTGAATGTGGAGCCCAACAATCCCCAGAACCACTCTTTGCCATCCAGCCTCCAAAACAATTTACAGGCCTTGTCCTCAGTGCCTCTGTTAAGGGAGCAGGATCGGTGAGCTGAGGTAAACCCCTTGTGTGTTGAGGAACAGCCAGTGCTCTCAGCCCCCGCCACAGGGGTCTCTTGTGATGGAAACCAGTCACCTAAGCCTCCAGTCCCAATCCCCTGAGTTATTATGGGCCTGCGGGGCCATTGCTTCATTTTAAATGCTCGTTCCATCTTGCCAGTTCACCTACCTTCCTCTTCGCCCCTCCGCTGGCAAATTACCAAACACAGGCCTCACCATAAATAAAAACCAGAAACAACCCAAATCGTCCGTGTAAAACCTGAATTCAAAGAAACTCCACATTAACAACCAGCAGCTGCAGAGTCCGGGGTGAATCTTTTCCCCCAATTCCATTTCCAAGGAACATCCTTTTTAAAATAAGGTCCCACCCCAGACCCTTTCCTGGGTGGTTCCCCTGTTTGCATGGTTTGCGAGGAGTTTAAACCAGATACATTTTTCAACCTGGGAAGAACCATTTGCATCATCATTTTTTTAATACGGTTTTGTTACAGAAATGAAAGGACTGTTATAAATAGCTAAAGCTGCATTATGTATTTCTTGCTATCTCACTAGCCCCTAGAGGCCCCCATCCTGCTGGGCAGCATACAGACACATAGGAAGATAAAGAGGTGAGGCTTTCAGAAGCACTCAGGATTGGCCTAACTGGGCTCCCGCCTTCATTTAGCGGGGAACAGAATTGAGGCAACACTGTGGGCTTTTGAACAGCCCCACCCTAAACAGAGAAGGCAAAGCGTGGCCAGCAGGGAGGAACATTATCCCAATTTTACTGTGGCACAGTGAGACTGATTTCCTGTCACCCTGGGCAAGTCAATCCGAGGCAGAGCTGGGAAATCGAATCCATCTCTCCTGTGTCCTACTCCAGTTACTTAACCCTGGGGCCAGCCTGCTGGATTCTGCCCACATTGTAACAAACCAGCAGAATCAGGGACTTTCTAAGCTCAGCCCCCAGTCTTTTAGTGTATGGAGCCCTGGGGACCAAATGAGCATGAATTACATAGCAGCAGCATTAGCTCAGACTGCCCTGGCTCTTGCCAGCTATAAGTTAGTTCCTTATGGTTCTTGGAGCACGTGATTCTGCACAGAGCATCACTAAATCTCTAATGAGACCAGACCAGTAACAGTTTTCACTTCAGCAAAGCAACCAAGTTTGCACAGGTCTGATAAAAGAACAGTTTGTCCCAATCCTGTTTCTATCCCTTTGGAAGAGTGCAGAATTATAACACCCCAGGATTAGCTGCACTGCAACAGAGCAATAGGCCCAGCCTATGTCCTGCTTTAGACAGTGGCCTATTCCTTATGCTTCAGAGAAAGGCTGGTTCTCAGCATAATGCACCAAATGGCCCACGCAACGCTACAATCCCAGGAGGAAGGATGTTCTTCCTGGCCCCGCTGATCAGCTTATGCCCTGAAGCATGAGGACTGAAAGCCCTGGTGACATTAATCAATGTCATGGGCATTCTCTGAAAGGGGAGCCCATGTATCTACGTGCTGGTGTATCTCCTTGGTGGTCTGCCTGGCTACATTGGCGATCCTCTGGAATCTATGCAGGAACAAGATGATGAAGAGGAGCAGGACAGCCTGGAGGAGGATGAAGAGGAAGAGGCAGATCTGGGAGATGAGCGCGATGCTGCAGTACCAGTACTGGCAGGTAGAGATGAGCTCATCCTCCGACAGGTACGCGATGATCCTGCCCCGCAGGTGTTCCGGGGAAGCACACACCACGTTCCTATACAGGGTCCGATTCGGCTGCCACTGGAGCCACGAGCGCAGGTAGAGGATGTCGCAGTCGCATTCCCAGGGGTTCCCCCACAGGTAGGCCACTTGGAGGCTCTGCAGGTTGTCCAGGAGCCCGCTGGGGATGCTGGTTAGCAGGTTGTTGTTGAGGAAGAGGGTCTGAGTTGAGGGGCTGAAGGATGCGGGGAGGCTGCTTTTGGTCAGCTCTACCGACATGCAGTTGACGATGTTGGCGCTGCACTGGCAGGACGAGGGGCAGGTGGGCGTCACAAGGGGCAGAGAGCCCAGCAGGGAAAGGAAGAGGATCCAGCAGATCATCTTCAGCTCTGAAACACACACACAAGCCACCTCTGACCCTGAACTCCTTGGGACATTGTGCGCAAACCTCAGGCACTCAGCATAAGAAGAGCAGCAGACGCAGACACCTGACACTGTCAAACTGAACAGAACAAACCCAGGGCTTTTATTTCCTTTGAGGATTTAAGTTTTGGGTGAATTTGGTACCCAGGAAGATGAGAGACCCCCAGCTCTGACAAGGGCATAATTTCAGCATGTGTTGGGCAAGAGCTCGCTCTCTCGTAATACTAGACAGGCGAGTGCTCCTGCTATTTTAGCCCGGGGTTTGTGGAGGGCAGATGGCTTATGGTGTGACCAGACATCCAGTAGGAACTGGCTGAGGCCATCAAATCTCATTTCCATTGGTGCCCAGGGCGGTGAAGAGAAGCTGGTATTTGCATGATTGCATTCCTGATGCACTATAATAGCTAAGGAAATTCAGCAGCAGTCACGTTAGTGTGCAAAACTGCTCATGCAGTCACAGGCTCCGAATGACCTTTCATTAACAGAAGCTTCAGGTTATTACAGAGGCAAAAAGCTACAGAAGATTCAAAAAAGGATTAGACAGTTGCATGACTAAGAACAGCCAATGCAGTTTCCACGGCTAGAATAAAAGTGACAGAGACAAGCAGTTCTCATGCATCAGGACATATAAAGATCAGGTGGGCTCAGGTAGAAATTCCCCACTCTGAGATTGTATTGCAGAAGTAGGGGGCTACCCTTGTTCTGAAGGATCTAAGCATTGGTTACTGCTGTAGACAAGAGACAAGCCATTGGACCGTCCTAGTATTGCAATTCTTGCAAAAAATCCTAAGGGTCATCATGGACTCTGACTTGTACAGGGGGTAAGAAGAGAGCAGCTTGGTGCCTCACCGTAAAGCAATGCTGTGCAGTGAAGTGACCGAGGAAGAAGGTAAAGTTAGCAGGAAGCGCAGTGTCTAGACTCACCTTTGCAGATTGCTGGCCTCTGGCACAAGGGAAGATTATAGTAAGAGGGCAAGTGGTGCAGGAGCATTTGCAAGTACACAGCTGAGCTCTCTGCTAGTTCCCCACTTGGCTCTGCAAGATAAGGGGAAAGCTAGTCCCAGGACTCCTCCCTGCCACCGTCTCGCCGGAACAGCTGAGGTTTCACCAAGCAACTGTTCCGAGGGATGCAAGATGACACTGGTTGTGGTAACGCTTCAAATGTGGCAGGCCTGATGACGACGGGTGGACGGCAGAGGGTCTTGGCCCAGAGGAAAGAGAGGGCAAAAGCATTTTGCTGTTATCTGTGAGTGGTCCAGCCCTGCCCTTTTCAAAACAGTGCCCTGTTTTACCCTGGCACCCTTTGGAAAGGAAGCCATCCTCTTAGAGGATAAGCAGCCCAAAGTATTTGCTTTGTTTTCTGTATTGCTCTGCTTAGCAGCAGCAAGAAAATATGCAAGGAACCTCATGTGAAATCCATGGGAGAGTCCTCAAAACCCCATCAGCCCCTGGGGAAGGGCCCATAATTTCCCATACTCAGTTCCACTTTGCCTGTCTGGCTCTGTCTTGGCAATGGCAAATACCTCTCAGATTGTTCCCCGGCTCCCCAAACCTCTGTGTAGCACGCAGCTCTGGCCCTCTCGAAGCTGGAAAAGACTTAGCAATGGCAACCAGGCAGAATCAGGCGGAGATCTCACTTGTCAGCTGAGAGGTTTGTAAGGAAGCTTGGGGAACCTAACATTGATCAGTGTCAGCTTCAATATGACAATGCTCCAGGTAATTCCCATAATACCCTGTTATGCCTTTCATCCTCAAGCTCTTTATGAACTACATATGCACAAAACTATGAGTCGCTTCACAGCTGCCTGCAGCTGTTTTAAGAGCATGCAGCACTGGGACAGGAAGTGAAGGAGACAGGATAAGGAGTCTCAGTCTGGGACAGGAAGTGCCTGTAATCAGTGACCCTGGGGGATGGGATCTTCACTGGTTGTGGACAGGTCTCCCTTTAGTGAATCTGTCCAGTAAATGGGGACCAAATATGTTGGAGCAGGAAGCGAAGGGGAATACTGTATCCAACCGAAGCTGCAGGTGGATTTAGGCAATTACTCAAGATTAAATTGGACCAGAAAATTCAAGCTCACACAAATACCATTGTGAAAAGCACGTCTGTTAAACTGGTTTCACATCTCATCTGAAAGAGCGCTCCTGGCAGCACGGTGTCCCCGAACATCCTGTTCATGCTATGTACAGTATCAGCATGCCTTGGAGGACCTTCATTAAAGCACTGACCCAATCCCTGCCCTTCTGAGCAGCTAGTGACTTCTGATGAGGTGCTCTGGCTTTCAGCTGTGGCCTGGGCCGCTAGCTGAGTAGGGAGGGAGCTGGCGAGCTGCTCTTCTGAAAACTTGCATTCTCTCACATGCCTGAAGCCCGGGAGAGCCCGATACTTGCAGACACAAAAAGGCAAGATCCAGGGGAAAGGAGAAAGCTGCAGGCTGGCTTGGCTGGCCAGTGCTGGGAAAGATAATGCTCATGGGAACATCGTGCTCTAGCGGGCTTGTCTCGATAGAGTCAGATGACTCAGCAGCTCGAAGCATGTGCAGCTCACAGTTAGCAAGGCAGGTTTACCACATCCTGCCGTCGGAATTTGTGGCACTGGGAGACGCTCCAGCCTGAGCAGCAGACCCAAAGGGATAAAAATAGACAGCTCTGGGGATGCTGAGATCACATCCCCATTGCATGCATTAAGGACCACAAACCCTGCCCCTGGTTTCCCCGTACAGTACCTCTCGTGTAAGCCCATTGGGCCAGATTCTCTCTGCACCCATTTACACAGGGGTGTAAAATGCTACCAGACCAGAACAGGAAGGATTGACACCCAGCTGCACTGGGGTCCAAGATGACCTAAGGAACAGGGCCAGGGAAAATTGGGCCCATTGATTCAGTGGGGCTGTAGCTGAAGGCAGGACTGGGGATAAAACCTCATCTCATACGCTTTAAAACCATTACGCTTTAAATTTCTAATAAATCAGGTTTCAGAGTAGCAGCCGTGTTAGTTGGTATCCGCAAAAAGAACAGGAGGACTTGTGGCACCTTAGTGACCCACCCATTTATTGGAGCATCAGCTTTCGTGGGCTACAGCTCACTTCGTTGGATGCTCAAATAAATTGGTTCGTCTCTGAGGTGCCACAAGTCCTCCTGTTCTTTTTAATAAATCGGAGTGGCTCATTCCGACTATTACAGCAGTGCAGAAGGCAGGCAGGGAATCTGGGCCCACAAACTGCTCAGCTTTTGTTAGAGTGTTTTTCTTTCATTTGGGTGGCGCCTCAAGACAACGGGGATCACCCAGGTAGATTTTTCCATAGGCCAGAAAGGACCATTATGACCACCTGACCTCCTGCGTAAGCCAGGCCAGAGCATTTCATCCAGGGACTGAGGAGTGCCATCTAAAGTGGGAGGGGGCACAGATTTGCCCCGCCAATCCTGACCCTCTCCTCTCCCCTTCTCAATCCCCTCTACCCCACCCTTCTGACTCCTCCGGTCCATGTTCCCCTCCAGATCTGAGTGAGTGCCATTGTGTCCTGGTGCACAGGATCTCTGGGCCACTCAGGTCTGACCCAGCCTATGCCTACATCCAGCCTAATCTGATTGAACTAGAGAACTGGACAGATCACACCCAGGGGAATTTTCCAGGCATCTTGCATTTCTGTCCCCACTCCTAACACGTCCCCCTTCCGCAGACAGAAAACAAACTCAGGAAAAGGTCGTCTTGTGGGTTTTTTTCATGTATTTATTTCACTGACCAGTTCAGGTAGTAAACATTATTAATAATAATAATAGCCATCATCATTTTAATAAAATGGATACGTTTCCAAAGGGTTTGTTTCTCTTCGTTCACAATGACAAAGTACTCAACAGTAATGTACAAAAAAACCCAACCAAAACGACAATGGGGAAAGGAAGCGCCTAAGAACAGAGCAAGGGGATGCAGAAATCACATGGTCACGAGCAAGCCAGGGTTACTGCGTGTGCAATGAAGGAGCGGGGAAAGCCGCCGCACAGCGTGAAGAATGGAATTCCCAGCCCCCAAAGGAACAGGATGCAGGACAAGGCATGCAGGTGGTCAGCGAGTGCTGGCCAGAGCCAGGACCAGTGGCACACAAACAGGTTCATCCCACAACCACCTCCCAAATCAGGCACACGGTTTGAGACGTGGCACCCACAACCCCCAGCCCAGCGACAGCTCACGAGAACTCGGTGGAGCCAGACTCAGAGCCTGGAGTTGCTCAGAAGCGCAAAAAACTGGCAAAGGCTTAGGATGCAGGGGGGGGGGGGTGTTAGGGGGAAGGAGCATCCTAGCCATACTCTCTACTTTGTTCGCTGCCAGGGGAGGAACCGCCAGCCATGCTTACCCAGGAACGCCTCTACCAGTCACAGGGCAGCTCAATTCAACAGGGGGAGACTCCACTCTGAGAACACGCAGACAGGGGGCAGATCTCCAGAGCATTCCAGGGGCTCACCTCCATTTCCAATGTCTTTCCAGGCAGCCAGCCCTCCCCACAGCCTCCCGAGAGGAAGAAAACCTGCCGTGTTGTCTTTGCTGGTGGGTCTCTGTGGTCCCACTTCCCCCTCTGGAGAAGCTGCAGCTCTAGCTGCCTTGGCAGAAGGTGCTTTTCCCTCTCTGATGCCACGCTACCCCTGCCCATGGCTGAGGAGTTCAGCCCTGTGTGGAATGGGTCTGGGAAACCTTACCTGATTTAGCAGAAGTTTGCATTGAGTTGATGGAGAGGTCCTCGCCGGGAAAGGGGGCAGATGTCTTAGTCAGCAATTCTGGCTGCGGTGCCCTGTCCTGCCAAATGCCTCAGACCCACAGCAGTGCCCTGCTTCAATGCCTTGCTTGTGGAGTCAACCACCAGTACAGCTGCAGGCTGCACTCAACCAAACCGTCATCTAATGCTAAAGGGAAGATGATCTCCTCTACCCCTTCTTGGGCCAAAACATGCTGGGCACAGAGGCCCCCTTAGCTGATCTGGAAATGTTACCACCTTACCTGCAACAGATTGTTAACTTGTGGAATTCACTGCCTCAGGATAATGCAGAAGCAAGGAACTTATCAAGCTTTACAAAAAGGGAACACACCCTCCAATGAACAGGAACAGCATTTGCAGTTACACTAGCATGAACAAAACTGATTCAAGTTAGCAATCCTCATGCGTCAGGATAGTAGCTGATCACCAGCCCAGGCCTGGAAGAAGCTGCCCCCTCGGGCTACAATACCACACAAGCAAGTGCATTATGGCGAGGCGGCTCACACTTTCCCTTTAAGCATCTGGCATTGGACAGTGCTGGAGACAGGAGTAAATGGCCCCTCAGTCTACCCTGGCATGGCATTGCCCATCTCTTATGTGCTTCGCACAGAGGGGACGGGACAGGACAAAGGAGCTGGGGAGATAGTGACATTGCTCTTCTGGCCTGAGTTTGGGCCCCAGACACACTGTACCGCTCTGCACTTCATTGGGGCAGCAAAAGGGGCCTCTTAAACAAGCCAGCCTCTAAGCTGAGAGGTTCAGTTTGCCCTGGCCTAGCTTAGACATCTGTCCAAGAGGCACTGCTGCCCTTCATTAGCTTAGCCTCTCCTCATTATTTCTGAGGTCTGTCCCGTCTCTCCTATACCTACCCGAGACAAAAGAGGGTTGCCTGTGAGTAACAGACACCGCCCCCGCTACTCACCAAGAGGACAAGAGATCAGGCCCCAGGGCCCTGCTGAGAGAAGCCAGCATGACACACTGCTAGCAGAAGCAGCCCTGGCACTTAACCAGACCCAGCCAACGCCGTGTGTCACACCAAGAGCCGGCCATCAAGGAGTCAGAGCTGGACAACACAAAGCCACAGGTAAATGGGCACCCACAGGACTCAGAGCGGGAACCAGGGGCTGGGCAAGAAGGACCCACCCCCATGTGCATCAGGCAATCAGCTCCTTGCCAGCACTCCAAGGAGTCTAAGGGAAGACCCAGTTAGCCTCCGGGCCCATTTTCCCTGGCCGGCCAGTGGCATTACTATCAGACAGGCCACACTTCTGGTTGCTCCTTTACTGTGCTTGGTTAAAAATAACCCAGCAAATGACAGCAGGACAGCGGCTGCTGCAGACACAGCCCTCGTTTCTCTGCCACCAGATCCTGCCAGCTTGCCCTGCGCTGGGAC